ACGTTGCGACCATGCCAGAATGGATGGTGACCAACTGCTTCAATGCACTGGATTCGATGAATACCCGACTTAAGACATCGTCAGTTGGTACTGGGAGGCTCGGCGTCAAATGGTCAAGAAGTCAAGCACGAGCGTTGGATAAATAAATAAAATATGTATAAAGAGATAGCCGTCACGTGTATAAGTGTGGTGCTAACATGGTGACAGATCTAATCTGGCCACATCCGTGGAATGACCCACCGCACGATAACGTGGCATCGTGGTTTGGGATTCCATTGCGTACGATAAAACATGACCGGCGATTCGTATTCAGGACACTATGACGGCCCAACAATACGTGAATGATCTGCTGTTTCCAGGGAATCCCCCCCCCCCCCTATTATACCTTTTACCAACTGAATAACGCCCGACCTCAAACTCTGCATGTGTGAGCCAAAGTTCTCTACAAAAAGTACAGACGCTTCGCTGGGCACCGTTCTCCCTCATATCTCACTAATTGAATTGGCTTAGGACGTGATTGGACGCCGTTTTGCATGCCCAGCTACCGACATGTTAGAAAACGAAATGTGGCAAATACTTTACAAGGAATAGACATCCATTCCTCAGAATGCCATCTTATTCTCATTGACTGCGTATCCTCAGACGTATTGCTTCGTGTTTTGCCGTTCGCGTGGTCTTACAACTACTCAGTAGACGATGTTCTCGCTTTGTGTGATGAGTAACTATTAAAAATAAATGTTACTTTTTGTGGGTTGCTGTCAGTCTCTGACCACATCTTGGAGTTGCATTTTTAATGTCATGCAGTGTAACTCGCATTTTTTAGTGGGAGGGGGCTGGCAGAGTCATGAAGAGCTTTGCAGACGCACAATAACGAAAACTACATGTACCTTGCAATTCTATAAGTCAGGGGTAGCCACCCTTTTTGCGAAGAGTTCCACTAGTTGATAAAAAAAATATGCGTGCTACTATTTGATATAAAAAATTATGCGTGCTACTTCCAACAAACAAAATATGAAAGAAAATATGCTACTTATAGGCTATTATGGAATTTTTACACAAATAGCCCAGGTTTTAATGCAAGTCTATGTATTGTAATGCAAATCTATGCAGTAGAAATTTTAAAGTAGAATAAATAAGACAAAAGTACAAACTTAGGTTAGGTATAAAGTAAAAATTAGTAAATTGAATAATTTAATTCTAAATAATAATTAAATACTCAGTACATAATGTGGTTTTTGAATTTCTACATTTTTTATCCAAATCTCATTTATATTATTAGCCGTAGTAGCCCAGTGGTCAAGGTATCGAATCGTGGCTGGCATGTCATGAGTTCGAGCCCAGTACCACAAAAGACCCGCCGTGTAGGGGAGCGATGCATATTAAATCTTTCGAGAGCTCAAACGTCCTCCCGTTGGTGTGGTGTGGTGGTTAGGAGAGGGGGTGCCAACTCATGTGTCGTCCAGGTAACTTGACTATGGTTCAAAATTACGAGGTCCGTCGCCGAAAGTCCTCGTGTTGCTGAGCAGTGCGACGTTAATCAATATTCACTCAATCAATACAGCAATCAAGATCCACTTTTATTTATGCAATCAAGTGAAATGAAATACTGTGTTTTTAAAATAGTTTTCAATGCATCCAGATCTCATTCATTTAATTTAAGAAAATGAAAAGCCAAAAATGCAGATCTTTTATTGAAAAATATTGACTTTTTAAATCAAAACCCATTACTTTATTTCAAAAATTTCTCCGTCCTGAATAAAATATTCCGCACTAAAAAGCATAAGAGATACCTGTCAAAGTATTTTTTTGCTATACATATAATAATTTAGCATTCACACCTTCACGTTCAACCGGAAGGACTACAAGGTCTCCGGTACAGGGTCGAGGTGTGGCTAACAATGAAAATTACGGATGGACAAAAAGACTGAACAGGAGGATATGGATGTCACAGTGATGGGCGACTCTATTTTCTAAATCTCTGCGGGATTTGGAATTTCACAAGCAACAATTTCAAGGGCGTGCCCCATCTACGCCAACGATAGCAGCGTGCGTGAGGCGTCCAACGCAATACTCGACACGATTTTTAACAGCGTCATCTGGCATGCTAGGAACCTCTCACCTGCAAGTGCAAAATTGCAGCAGATAACGGTGAAACTCAATTTGGGGGCATGTCCCCTCTCATTGTTGCGGTAACTCAATGGAAATGAGACCTTACTCATTATCAGATAGGAGTTTCAATTTTCTGATACAAGTGTGCTCTGAATATTAAATAATCTCTTAGTTTAAAAAGACTATCATTCACAGAAATGTCTCTAAATTTCGAACTATGTTATAAATTTGATTGAAAAGAAAAACGCCTAAAAGTGTGTTTGGAGAAGATTCAAGAATCACCCACACACATTTGATATTCAATTGCTTGAGTCAATGATTCTTAACCTTTTTCAAATCCTACTATTAGCTCTCTCACTCTCTCCTTATCTATATATATAAAGGAGAAAAGCGACTCACTGACAGACTGACTAATCACGAAATCTCTGGAACTATTCAACCTACAGACTTGAAATTTGGTAGACATGTTCCTTAGATAGAGTAGACATCAGCTAAGAAAGGATTTTCCGAAATTCGAAACGCAAGGGGCGTTACGGGGGGTTAAGGGCTTTAATAATAATGGTTTCCATGTTTAAACTACTTGATGTACAATCTTGAAATTGGGTAAGCGGATTCCTTTCAGGGAGTAGAGATCCGCTACTAAATGAGTTTGCTGAAAATCGACCCCCAAGTGGCGTTGCAGGGGCTTAGGGGGCGTTATAGATAATTATTTCCATTTTAAAACTATTTGACGCACTGTCTTTAAATTTGATATATATAGATTCCTTTCGTAGAATAATGATCAGTTACAAAACGGGTTTTGTGAAAACAGACTTCTAAGTGGCGTTGCGGGGGATTAAGGGGCGTAATAGATAAATATATCCGTTTTTAAACTTCTTCACCTACCTGCTTGAAAATTGGTAGGTAAGTTTCTTTCCTGGAGTAAATATCCGCTACAAAATGGGTTTTGGGAAAATTGACCCCAAGGGGTGTTGCGGGGGCGGGGGGTTTAAGGGGCGTTATAAATTCCTATTTTTAAGTTGTTAGACGTACAGTCTTGAAACTTAGTAAGCAGATTCCTCTCATAGGGTAGAGATACGCTAAAAATGGGTTTCGTGAAAATTGCCCCCAAGTGGCGTTGAGGATATAGATAAGAGGCGTTATAGATAATTATTTCCACTTTTAAACTATTAGACGCACAGTCTTTATATTTGATAAAGAGATTTCTTTCATAGAGTAGAGATCAGCTATAAGAAGGTTTTGTGAAAACAGACCTCTAAGTGGCGTTGCAGGGGAATAAGTGGCGTAAGAGATAAATATATTCGTTTTTAAACTATTTGACCTACCTGCTTGAAAATTGGTAGGAATGTTTCTTTCATGGAGTAAATATCCGCTACAAAACGGGTTTGGAGAAAATTGACCCTCAAGGGGTGTTGCAGGGGGTTAAGGGCAGATATAAATAAATATTTCTTTTTTTAAACTATTAGACTCACAGTCTTGAAATTTGGTTAGCAGATTCCTCTCATAGGATAGAAATACACTGCAAAATGTGTTTTGTGAAAATCGACCCCTAGGTGGTGTTGCGGGGGTTCAAGGGGCGTTATTAATAATTTTTTTGCATTTTTAATTAATTGGACGCACAGTCTTCAAATTTTGCTAAGCAGATTCCTTTCATAGAGTGCAATTCCCCTACGAAATGGGTTTTGTGAAAACAGACCCAGAAGTGGCGTTGCGGGGGCTCAAGTGGCGTTATAGACAATTATCCCCATTTTTAAACTGTTAGACGTACAGTCTTGAAATTTGATAAGCAGATTCCTTTCGTAAAGTGGAGAACCGCTACAAAATGGGTTTCGCGAATATCAACTATCAAGTTTAATTTCGGGAGATTAAGAGGCGTAATCGATAAATATTTCCATTTTTAAACTACTTGATCATCCTGCTTGAAAATTGGTAGGCATGTTCCTTTCATGGAATATAATTCCTCTAACAAAGAGTAAAATGAAAATTGACCCCAAAGATGTTTGCGAGGGGTCAAGAGGAGTTACAGAAAAAAATTCCTGTTTTTAATTGTTAGACCCATATACTTGAAATTTTTTAAGCATGTTTCTTTTGTTGAATAGGGAACCACTAAGAATAAATTTTAAGCAAATCAAGTTCTGGGGGGTTGCAGGGGGTTACTGGGACATATTGACAAAAAAATTACTTTTTTCGAGCTACAAGGACTATAATAATGAAATTTGGTTTGCATTTTTCTTTTGTTGAATTGAAATCCGCTAAGAGCGGTAATTTTGGAAAACGGCTCTCAACGGGATTACGGGGATATTTATAGTAAAACTTTTGCTTTTTTCTGTTAGATTTAGACTTGAAATTTGGCTTGCATGTTCAATTTACGGAGTAGAGATCCACCGAAAATTGGTTTTGCGGGAATCCACTTGGTTTTTGAGTTACGAAAGAGCAAACATCATTCTATGCTTCAATTTTAGAGATTTTTAGAAAATACAAATTAGATGAGTTCTGCCCTTTTTTTTTATCAACAGGTGACAGTTACAGGTATAAGTATATTTTTCAATTCAATCGAATTCTTAATGCTAGGACTTAGATATCAATAATTTATACATATATATAAGCAGTAAAAATTTATAAAACATCATGAAATACCCAGCGAAGCGGGCGGGTAACAGCTAGTATACGTATATATATATCTTGTGCAAATTTTCAATTGTTAATAAAATATTTTCTATTCATCCATTAAAATTCAAATACTTTTTTTAAACTTGTAAAGGATGACACTTGTTGCTAATACAATTTTTTTCAAATATTAATTCTTTCTTTAAATTAAAAAAAATGAATAAATAGTAACAAACAAAAATAATAGTCCAACAGCATATATAGAAAAGAAAATCGTTCATTGTATCTCTGAAGCGCAATATATAGCGCGTTGGACCTCTAATCTAAAGGTCGTGGGTTCGAATTCCACCTAGGATGGTCTGATTTCTGAGAATGTGATTTCTTTTTTACTATACTATTTTACTAGAATAATTTAATTTAATTAATGAATAAATAGTAACAAAAAATATAGAGTCCAACACACACAATATATAAAGGAAAATGGAAAATTACAACCAAAATCGCTTTCTAATTAGTCCTTTTATGTTGTGATTCTGTCATATGCATATACATATTTATATATTAATTGTAACTATTTAATAAAATTAACTAAAATAAAAATTTTCTTTGTTGACCTATAAGTAGAAATTCACTTAAATTTTTTTTATATATTACTCGTTGTTGTTGTTGTTGCGATGCACTTTAAACAATTACAAAATTTGGCAGCATACTAAAGATAAAATAAGTTTGAAAGAATTTTACTTATCTATAATACACTATGTAAAATTGTTTATGATAATAATTTTCAATATTAAACAAAACAATATGCAGCACAAAGACTACAAAATGTTTATTGAGTATATATATATAGTTAATTATAAAAATATATTTTATGCGAAATTTGTGCTTGGTGATTTTTGATAATTTTGTTTATAATGGGTCGCAAAATTGATAACGTCAATCTCATTTCGTCATTTACATTTTAAAAAAAGTCTCGATCTCTTTTTATTTTTATATTTGTTAATGCTACCGAAAATTCGGTTCCGGATTTATTTATTTTTCTCAGAGAGTGAATGAATATTAGCGTCACACTATTCAGCTACACGAGGGCTTTTTGGCGACGGACAGCGTAATTTTGAACCATGGTCAAGTGACGCAGACGACACCTGAGCTAGCACCCCCTCGCCTAACTACTATACCATTCCAACGGGAGGACGTTTGAGCTCTTCAGTGGTATTGGGCTCGAACTCATGACACGTTAACCATTTGGCTACCGCTGCCACTTTTTTTCTTGCAGTATATATATATATATATATAATTAATAATTTTTTAAAAATTTGTGGCACATTTAAAGTATTTGGCACCACACAAAATAGCCACAGCACACAGTAATTGAGAATCACTGGTTTAAGGGTATATATCAATTGGTTAAGGTTCAGCTTTCTAAAACAAACTAATAGTTAGAATTAGTACTAAGTATGTAAAGTTGTTAATAAAATCGAGATGTATTTTTTTTTATTATTTTCAATCAAAAATGCGGAATATGTATGCAGTAATACCCAAACTTACGCGATAGGTGGGACTGCACTGCGTAAGTCGGGGTAAGTTTTCGCATATAAGTACATATAAATAAATTTTAATACAGGCTGGAGACGAATGAAAATAGTAATTTTTTTAAAAAAATGCTTGTAAAATAGATAACATAAGTACAAAATCGCTAACTGAAGTTATTTTAATGCAAAAGGTTTAATAAAATTTAACAAAATAGCTGCCAGCTCAAAGAGATTGTTTTTTTTTTTTTTTTTTCTCCCGCAAAATTTCCTCGTAGCTTGCTAATAAATTTTTTTATTCTTTATTTTGTAGAAAAAATATGCGTCTTTTTTCAATTAAATGAAGCCTTCTGTCAAATTCCCAACCATCCTTTGATCTTCTGATTGAACTGGGTTTAAAGACTCAAACTCTTCAATGCCCTTTGCTCTTGCTCATGCTTTTCCATAAGCTCATCATTTGTAAGCTCTTGATTGTAGGAATCCAGCAGTTTTTGAGCGTCATCACTATTCACTTCTAAATTTATTTGCCTGGCAAGATCGACTTCTTCAATCACTTTACCAATTTCAGCAATTTTACCAATTCTTTTTTTTTCTCTAACAAAAGACTAATCGATGAGATTTGAAAATGGCTTAAGTCGAGGTACAACTGTACTCAATTTATCAATGAGGGATAGAAAATACGCATTTAATCTCTTTTTAAAATTAACATTAGTCTAGAGTTATTCAATAAAATTACAGGGACAAGTCTGAACTGGTACTGAGTCTTATAAATCGACTGTTGGGTTTATATATCTTCTTTAGAATTTAAGATTTTACCAATGACTTTTAAGTGAGATTTTATCCGTCGCACTTTCAAACAAAACGAGGGGTTTGGGCAATGGACTTCGTTCAAGTGAAGGAGATGACACCTGATCTAGCACTCCATTTCCAAACAACCACACTACGTCAACCGAAAGACCTTGAATTTCAAAAGGTCAACGGCCCCTCTTCAGTGACAACAGGACTCGAAGCCGCGATTCGATGACCTCGAGTTTGTGACCCGGATGATTTGTACAAACCTATAAAAGCTATAAATGTACTAATAGAAGGAAAAATATAACTAAGAAATGATATACGTAGAACGTCGTTTATCTGAATCAATTGTGGCCGCTGTAGCCGAGGGGTCTAGGCATCGGATTGTGGCTAGCGTGTCATGGGTTCGATCCCAGCACCACTGAAGACCCACCGTGTAGGGGCACGATGCACGTTAAATCTGTCGAGAGCTCAAACGTCCTCCCGTTGGTGTGGTGTGGTAGTTAGGAGAGGGGAGTGCCAGCTCAGGTGTCGTCCACGTCACTTGACCATGGTTCAAAATTACGCGGACCGTCTCCAAACGCCCTCGTGTAGCTGAACAGTGGGACGTTAATATTCACTCACTCACTCATCTGAATCAATTGGGACCGGACATTGTTCGGATAGCCGAAAACCGAATGCGATCCATGCAGTATATGAAACTGGAAGCTATACGAATATTGAAAATCGTCACATGCATGAAACGTGCTTGAAGAAAAAGCAAAATAGGTGCAAAATGTCGCAATTTCACCTTTATTGTGGAAAATAATTACTTATTTTTCGCTGTACCATTGTACACCTTCGCTTTTTCCTTGCAATGTCTCCAATTCTCTTGCTCCGGATAATAAACGTTCGGAAAAACGACGTTCTACTGTAAAAGCAACTAAGAAAAACTAAGAAATTATATGAATGTACTAATAGAAAAAATTATCTTAATGAACACGAATATTCCGCTACCCATCCACTATAGTGGTTAGTGACGCCGATTTCTGTGCTGTTAGGCCTAGGTTCGAATGCAGGAGAAGACACGGATGTTTGTAAATTTATAGTGCCTTCGTGGCATGGGGGTATTCTAAATAACCGTCAAGCTGCAAGTCCTCTCATGAGATTGGTGGGAGGCCACTGACCACCTCCAGGGTGTTCTCCCTCAAAATTGGGATGGAACCGAGCCAAATCGAACTGTCACCAGCATGGTGCTCAAAGCTAAGGCTAACGACGAGCGTAAAAATTTCGAACTCAGCCGCGATAAATTCTGACTCGATCTGACTCCGTCAGACACAGGTGGCATTTGCAACAACAACACATGAATATTCCCCTTAAAGCACAATTAAAGTCTCCGAGATAAATGACCTAGTAGTTAAGATCACAAACTCGTAGCCGTTGAGAGCCGGGTTTGAATCCTGGTGCTACTGAAGATCTGTCATGTAGAGGGAGGAAACCGATGCAGGTTCAATCTGTCGAGGCTCCAAGTCCTCCTGTTTCCGCCGGGGTGTGGTAGTTTTGTACAGGGGGTGCCAGCTTTGGTTCAAAATTACGAGGTCAGTCACCAATAGTCCCACGTGTTGCATTATAGTGCGACTTTGTTGTTACTTTCCTTCCGCATTAGGAAGGTTTTGAAATTCGGAACAAAAAATTTTTTTCTCGATCCACTAAAATTGAATATCCCCTCCAAAACACAATTAAAATCTCCGAAATAAACTGAAAAAAGCAAGTCCTTTTTCTCTTTCGAAGGAAAACTTTCACTCGTAGGTTGTAGTTCTTTCTTTCTTCCTTTTTTTTACCAAGTAAGGTCATAAAGCCATTTCAAATGAGAGGAAGCTGATAATGGCAAAACTAACTATACTTAACCATTCCAAGTAACGGGTTTGTGGTCGATAGGAAACCAGACACACTTTCCACGCATACTTTCATATCCTGACCTTCACTTTGAATGACGCTGCATTCATATCACACCGTTTCTTTCTTTCATTTCATGCAAAACGAGACGACATACCGCGATCTTAACATACCCTCGCTATAAGTTCTCTAGTCGGAATCGCCCAATTTTAGGAGCGTTCCAGCAAAGATGGCATATTTATGGGACTTTGTGGGCAGCTGCACCTCAACTTTTAATGAAAGATGACTTCCTGAAGGGAAAAAAATATAATAAAGCGTCCACACCGCTCTGAATTGAACGAATGATTTATTCATTAAAGATGCTGGACTCCTCAGAGGGAGGGGGGGGCGAAAGAGTCTTATTTACTTCGCCAGATAAGTTGAGTGCGTATTTAGACTAGAGATCTGGGGAAAATATAAATCGGAGAAGGAATAATAGAATGGAATTTTTTTTTTTTTTTTCGTGTTTCCGTTAGGTTAGAGAACGAAAATTCTTTTGTTGGTTGTGAGCTTCTTCAAGCGTCGGCGAGTGTGAATGAGCCATTTAGATTCATGGTAGAAATAGGCACGATAAAAGATCAGAGTTGAAAAGGGAATTTGACTCGGTTCGAAAAGTTTAATTAAATCTGCATTGTTTTGTTTAGTTTTGGGTAAAGGCAAGCGCGAAAAAATTATATGAAACAAAGATATTTTGAAATAATGAGCATTTTGTTCTGAATGATTTGAATGTCGAAAAATAGTCGAAGAAATAAGTTGGGGATCAAAGTAAATATCTTAAAATAAGGGGTTTCAGCCCGTAGCCTGCGGGTTACAAATGGCTCGCTGAAGGCATTTTAGTGACCCTTCATTTGAATCTGAGGTAGTTTCAGGAAAATTTTCCTTCGTCATTTTTTCTGTTATTCTTGATATTTAAAACATCTTATTGATATTGTGGCATTTTCACGTTACCCAGCTGAAAATCGGCTTCTTTTTGTGGATAGGATAACAACATTCCTATCCACACGTGCACCCCTAAATATCGCGGGGTCTGTCATTGGACATCTCCCCGAAACTGATGACCGTGCAGTACAACGGCTGGATTCGATACCTTCGAGCCGGAAGCTCCGAGTGTAATTCGAGGTG